CATTCATGAATTGGATCCAATTATTAATCATTTGCATCCCTCCAAAGATTTGAAGAAAATGACTTTTTTTTTTTTTTAAATCTAGATCAGTTTATCTTTTGTGTTCTAGATTCGGGAAATATTTTACATTAATCCAAAGTTTTTTTTTATAATAAAAGAATGATATATATAGATATAGGAATTTAATTTCTCTTTAATTTTACTCTCTGAGATTCGAAAAGGAAGTGTACCTTGAAGCATTTGTCGATAACTTCGTCGGCTAGTCCAACTGCCTCGAATATCTGGGCTCCTTTATAAGATTGCAGAGTTGAGATTCCCATCTTGGCCATCACTTTCGCGATTCCTCGTTCCATAGCCTCCGCATAATTCTGCGATATTTAAGCAATTATTGTTATCTTTTTTTCATATACATATAAATAAAGAATAATTTTTACAATTAGCGTTACGTCATGTTCATCCAACAAGTATTTTCGTTCTATAAGGAAGTCCTTAAGGATTTACCTTAAAGATAACGTCATCGGTGAAGGTCTCGTCGAAAACGCGATCTGCCCTCAGGTTTTTCGCCATTTCGAATACTAGATAAGGACATATGGCGTCCGCTCCGTAACCGAGTAGCACGCAGATGTGATGAACCTCTCGAGCCTCCGCTGTTTCCAGAATAAGACCGACCTTCATTCGTTGTCTCTCTTCGATTAAATGATGATGAACGGCACCCAGAGCTAGCAGACTGCTTACCGGAACTCTAAAGTCAACAAAATATAATGATTTGAAAATTGTAGATTTTCCTTCCTTACAAGATTATTTTTAATCTTAATAAAACTTAATATTTCGTTCCGTAGGTTACGTGAGCTCCTCACCTTGACGGACCACCTTGTCGGTCGGATAACACGAGAAGCTGATAACCATCTCTGGCAGCCGCGTTAGCCTCATTATTAATACGATTCAGCGTCTTCGACAAGCCGCTGGGACCGTCTTCAATGGGGTAAGTGATATCGATCACTCTTGTTCGCCAGCCGCGATGCGTCGTGCGCTTGAGAACCTCGAGATCGCTCAGGGACAGTATCGGTTGGGGCAGGAACAAGCGATGTACTTGCAACTCGCTCGTTTCCAGGATGTTGCTTTCGGGCCCGATCGGGCAGAGCATCGACATCACGATTTTTTCGCGGAACGGATCGATCGGTGGGTTTGTTACCTGATTATGAAAATCATAATTGTGTGGGACGCATTAATATACGCACATGCGTCAGATATATATTTGATCGTACTTAGTAAAATATTTTAAAATCATTTTTTTTTTTTTTAATTACTCTATATGTCGAGTTATGGAGAGTCAAATTTTTATCGCGTACCTGCGCAAACAATTGCTTGAAATATTCGTACAATAATGGTTGGAATTCCGACAAACATGCCAGGGGAGCGTCGTTGCCCATGGATCCTAATGATTCTTTCCTGAAAGTGTTCGTTTTAATATTTATTGGGCAGTTGGAATAGCATTATCGTCGTATTGAAAAAGACGATAATATCGTCGAAAGAATTTATTCGTACTTGGTTTGCATCATGGGTAAAAGTAGCAGGTTGATGGTCTCCAGAGTGTAACCGTAAAGAGAGAGTCGTTTATCGCCGCTCCAGACTTTATTCACCGCCGAGACCTCATTTACTCCGTTAAGAACATTTTTCTTCGCGACAGTCGTCTCGGCGGATAGATCATTTCCAATTACATCTCCCGTATTGTCATTAGTAGCATGCGCGGCACGCAATTCGTCCATAGTGATCTGCGTTAACAAAAAAGACATCGCTATCTATTAGTCGAAGTTAAAAATCTTTTTTTCGCGGAGATTCAAGAATAGATTTGGCACTGTAATTAGAAAAAGAGATGTTTTGAGTTGTATGATAGAAAAAAATTCAAGCAAATATCACACGTCAGAAATTTCATTAGTAATTAATTGATTAGTAAATTAGTTGACAAAACAAAAATAAAAGGACAAGATTAGTCGACAAATGCGGTAGACTGATTTTTCCATGCGAAAAAGAATCGCCCAAGATTTTCCCGTGTATCAAACTGTACTATTTATTCATAATTCCTTTTACTACAATATATTGCTACTTACCTAGTATACGTATAACAATTTATTATATTCTTCGATTATACTACTACGTCTATATAATGCATTAAAATGAAAACAACACATTCAAATTGGTATGAACGACTCACCCTCTGCATATACGATGGTAACGGCACGTGCAGCGATACGAGAAAAAAAGTTAATTTTGTATTAGAACACTTTTTTCTTACAAGGATAATCTTGGTATAAATTTTAACGCGATTTTAATTGTTAAAATCAATTGCCAATTAAATATTATCTTTATCTTAAAGATCTTTGGGATGTATTAATTGATTAATTAGGAGGATTAGTCAATTGATTTTTATGGAAAAAAGCAAAAAATCTATTTAATTTTTTTTCGCGCTAGCGAATATAATTATACGATAATCATGCAGGTACGTAAGTTGTACACTTATGTACAAAAATACCAATTATACATATGTACACGGAGTGTGTTCGCGTTACATGAAAATAACGGAAAAACGTAAAAAAAATATCGAGAGCTCGAAGTTTCTGCCGTTTCGTTTTCGGAATAGGCGAATATTCATAATCATGATATATATAATGCGAGAATTGGTGATCGCGAATAATTACATCAGGTCGGCGAAAAGCACGCGTTTAGCTACCTGTTCTTTGAGCCACTTGGAATGAGGCCTGCTTCGAGCGATCTGCAGCTTCAGCTCGACATCCTGTATGATCCTCTTCTCTTCGGTATCGACGAGAAGCATTCGGCCGGGCTTCAAGCGACTCTGCAAATAAAAGAGTACACCGATAATCGCCATAGAACGGATTTGACACGTCGATGATCGACATTCATATGACAGCACTGGATGACGGTCCTACAGCTCTATACAAACCTAGTCCCTAGATGACAAATTATACATTATACATGATACATGATCAAAAAATAAATAAAATACGATATATGTGATTAGCTCTATTATACATATGTATAATATCAACGGTACAGCGAAGTAGGTATTGCGGATCAAACGATGATGACAGTCTGCCCTTTTACCGATTCTTTAGGTATACTCCTAAAATACGTCTTTAATTTTCAAATATGAAATTTTCGCGTTCGAACAAAAAGGGAAAAGATTTTGAATCGTGGATGAAGTCGATGGTGATGAACCAGTAGCTGAGCATTGGTCGATCATCATCACCATCATCGCATAAAGGCAGAATGCCAGTACATTACATTGTTTCGGCAATATTCGATATTAAATATAACAAATTCGCGCAAAATTGTCCGATATTAAGACAAAATATTCTATACTTGTTCACGAGAGTGTGGTAGAACTTTTTTTATCGGATGGAGTTATTATTTCATTGTATCGAACGGTTATTTCATCGTAACGATTTAATATATTAATAATAGAGAGAAATATATACTCTTATTACGAGGAACGGAAACGATACGCTTGTTGCTTCCGACAGAGATTCCACACAAGATGTAATGAATAACGTATATTGGTTAGACATAGCATAGATGAAAAATAAGATGATTTAATAAATCGCACGATGGCACGCTTGCATCCCAGAAAACGAAGACGCCATAGATTCAAGACCAACCTAGCCGAGGATCGTAAACCGAGTATATAACCAAAGAGACGTACATGATCAACGATCTCTGTATAACCAAAGACCTCTGGAACTAAAAATTTGCGTAAGCATGCAACCTATCAAGCAATAAATATCTGCAAAACCATTATTCCGTGGAATCAACAAGCTACGTGCTCCCGATCTCGTCTCCCGGATTGGCAGTTTTCCGCCGAGAATTTTCCGATAAGGAAAGCTCTACCGCGTATCTCGCCTCCTCTCTTCTTCCTCTAATGAGAAATCAGCGGGAGATCAAAGCGAATTGTTTCGTGACACAATAATAATCGGTCGACAAGACGAAATGCGAACTGTCGAAGAATGATGGCGAGAAGGCGTGTTATCGGAAGCTAGAGATGCGCGCTTGGGAGCTTCGCTGACGCGAGAATAAGACTCGAACGACATGTGACCGTCACTCTCGCCGATCAACGATGTCGTCGCGGCATCATAGTCGAGAGTCATTCCCGTGCAACAAAATTCTCAAGCGTCGATCAAAAATACAAAACGGCTTGTCGCGTGGTTAAAGACGCGCAAGCATTGCTCTTGTACACGAGCAGCATGACACGAGCGTCCTTTCATCCTTGTTTCCTTGGGGGATCCTTGGAGGCTACAGAGAGAGAGGTCCGACTTCCCCGGGCAGGGCGCCTCCCCGATCGCTCTTCCACCGGCCGAGATCGTTCTATATCGGGGTGAAATGTAGAGAAAAGGCGCGGAGAGATGAGAGAATAGGGGCGGGGGGAAAAAAGATTGAGCGTATGAGGAGATGACTGAGACTCGTCGGTATATAAATCATTGTACTGCGAGTCAGTTGTCTCCGCCTCAGACAAAGAGAGAGGCGCTCTCCTCCCCCCTCTCGGTGAGATCGGCCGATGTGCTTGGGATGCGCTTATTTTCCTTCGTTTACCTTCAGGACTACATTGCTGGGCGGAGTATCATAGACGCCCACTTCGGACGCCATCACCATCATGTTATCCTTAGTGACGTAGAAGCGCGACGGGCGCAGGCCGTTTCTGCCAAACAAAAATTCAAAAAGGTCTTTTGTATTTCACACCACCTCTGTGCCGCGCGCTAGGTATCAGCTGACATGAGTGAACTACACATTGCTGTTCGTTCGTTCGCTTGCCTGCCTTCCTGCTGGCTTACTCGCGTATACTTTCTCTTTCGCTCTCTCTCTCTCTCTCTCTACCCCCTCCCCCCCCCTCTCTTTCTCTCTTTCTCTTTCAGTCTTTGCGATAAAATGTCTCAAGGCGATGCAATTCTCGATGTACTGATAGAAAAGAAAAACATATAAATTTTATGATTCCCCCTCTCTTTCTCTTTCAGTCTTTGCGATAAAATGTCTCAAGGCGATGCAATTCTCGATGTACTGATAGAAAAGAAAAACATATATTAAATACAATTTTATGAAATAAAAGTAAATCAACCTTTTAGATTGCGATAAAAATAATTCGTGCGATAATAAATTCGTTAAATAAATCGAGCAATAAAGCTCTGTTTTTCTCCTTCTGGATTAATCGCGCGATTTATAATTAATAATTATAAATAAAAATATTATAAATAATTATTAATTATCGTCACCTTTAATCAACTTTGAGTTCACTTTATTAACGTCGACGGATCTTCTTCGGATGGAAGAAAACGCGCGACGTGAGATACGAGCCTGAATCTCTCCGCTGGCGGGAGCCAGCCTCCCCGTGTGTATCGGAAACCCATGAGAAGGAAAGAATCCGCAGGAAAGTCATCCGACGGTGTCCGATGGGACGGTCCGATATCGCGGCGAAGCTCGGCATATAAAACTACACGGCTATCTTCGCAATCTGACGCCGCACGAACCAGTTTTCGGTTGCGCGGGACCGGATCTTCCTTCCCGCCAAGAGGATCCGGCCGAGAAAACCGTCTCTCTTTACCTCCCCCTCCGTACCCTTCTTTCCCCCCTTTCCTTTCTCGTCTTACATTGCTTTTCACATAAAATAAACTTGATTCAATCTCCTCTTTGAGAAATTTCGTCATTTTTTTTTTTTTTTTTTTTTGCATTTTATATATGTATATACATTTTTTATTATCTTAAACATTTTAAAGATTGATTTATATATATTCAAGGATTCTTGTTCTCGCGTAAATCCTTCCAGAAAATTAGCTTTTTCCTATCTGTAAATTATTTCTTCCATATACATATATTTTTATATATCTTTCTCTCTGTTTGCATCTCTCTCTTCCGTGCTCGCTCCAAGAGCGCAGAAATGTCTGCGAATCGACGCCGCCAATCGACCGATCGCCAGGAGAAAGCGAATCGTGCGCGTTCCTCGATCGAAAGTCGAGAAATTACGGGATATCTTTAATTGAGAAAAATTGCGCCGATATAGTTGCCGCTCGTCTTTGCCCGATTCGATTTTAACAATGGAAGTAAAGTCGCTCAAACATTCTTATATAGACATTCAATCGTAATTATATGATGTTTATCATTATTTAAACTTTATTTCTATCGCGCAGTTTTCCGTGTTATTTTACCTGATTTTTATCTCCTACGATCAATTTCCAATTATTTAATTTTCTCGATTTCAATCGGGCTTTATCTGGAATTGGACGCATTTCGCGAGAATCTGGACCCCGGTCTTTTTCCATCAGGTTACAAGGCTGCGATGACCGATGGACGAAGCCGATGTCGATAACGTGGTTATCGAGTGATCTGGGGGCGTCCAAGTGTTATCGCGACCAACGATAAGCCGCGGCCGCCAAGTGATACGCCAGTAATCTCATCTGACCCACAGGGCCCTCTCTTCCACATCTCGGTTGTTTATCTGCTCCGGCATTCTCTCCCGACAACGTGTTATTCATTATTTATTCTCCTTGCGAGCCCGAGTTGACTATCGCCAATAAAAATCCACATCGCGGACAAAAACTATCATCTCGAATCATTGCAACATCCAACGAAAGTCGTCAGAGTTGAAATTTCCGCTCGATAAGAGAAATCCATTTCTCCTATCATCTCTCTTCATCTTACATATTTGTTTCAAATTCCGCAATTTGTCTTTCGTAAAATTTGTTTTATCAATTCCAATCAGATACAATCTCACATTATATTTAATTCCAATTTATACTTTCACTTATTTTTATTTGCACTTCTCTCATCTTTTATTTTTGCCCACCTTCTTAATTCTGATGCAATTTTTTTTTCTCTCTCTTATCCTACTGCAATTTCAATTTCTGTTTTTCGGATTATTTATTATTATGACGGAGTCTCCGCAATTAGCAATTGATAATTTCTATTGATTAGCTACATCTGCGTCGGCGCGACTGCACCTCGGTGCAAGCGCTTATCGTCTCGTTTCCGCATTTAATCGCGCCAATGTGTTTTCGAGACTCTGGACCGACCGACCGTAGTTGCATTCGCCGAGATAAGGAACCGAGTAAGAGGAAAAAAATCATTCGATATCCCGCTATCGATCGAGGCATCGCGCTCTATGTGAACTTCGAGTTTCCGAAGCGATAAACTTTGTATCGTAAAAGAAAAAAAAACAGAAGAAGGAAAGAGATATAGATGGAGAAAATAAAAGAGAGAGAGAGAGAGAGAGAGAGAGAGAGAGAGAGAGAGAGAGAGAGATTGTATTTAAATTCTCAAATTTCCTACAATCTGTAACTCTAAAATCTATATCTATATCTCTGAAACGCGACTAATCTCAATTCGAATAAAGCAATCTACGCGTTAATTAAATATTATATAAATTCAAATGTGTGTTATCTATATACAAGATTATATATATAATTTATATTGTATAATTAATAAATAAATAATTTAATAAATATAATTAATTATATATATAAATACAATTTATATGTATATATTATATATAATTTAGGATTTCAATTTTAATCAATTTTTCCTTAAGAAAAAAAATATAAAGAAAGAAACAAAATATATCCATGCAAAGTATTTTGATATCAAACTGCGGGATTAAAGTCACGTCTCATCAAGATCGATGTACATGCATCGGTACACGATCGCACGGAATTTTCGTCGAAGCGAGATCGGGATGAAATCCGATCGCGAGCGGCGCCAAGGACAGGGATCGAGTTTCCGGTCGAGCGGAGGCGCTCTCTTCATCGTCGACCACCCTCGATCGCCGGTTTCTCGCGTGCGTCTCGATCATCGTCCTCAACGTCGTTGTCAACGACCAATCTCGCGCGATCGTTATCACGCGTGGTACCGCGAGCGCGAACAACGCCCGCATGCCTTGTAATTTACACCCAGGACGACGGCGGTCGACCAGGAGACATATCTCCTTCCAGCGTGCAAGACAGAGAATGTCAGTAAAAAAAGAAAAAGAAAAAAAAAAGAAAATTAAATCGTCATTAAACGTTGATTTCAATAAAGAATTAAAAAAAAAAATAGGTATTTATTTTGTATCTCTCGTAGCTTGGACTTTATGAATATTATATGTATATCGCCGCGTGTAAAAGAAGCAATATCGATGCAAAGCAACAAAATAGAATGAAGGTGTCGAAAATTCGCACGCAACGGCATCGCTTACGCATCCCGTTTATGAGCGTTATTTTGCGGTAAACACGCTCCGACTGTTTTTTAGACATCGAACCGTGGAACGCGATCGCGCTCGTTTCCATTTAATTGATCTGCTTCGATGGCCAGCGCGCTACCGAGATCGTATCGCTGCGTAGAGCGAACTTCCTATACATCGATTGAAAGAGATGGATAGATAGAGCGAGCGAGCGAGAGAGAGAGCGAGAGAGAGAGAGAGAGAGAGAGAGAGATTTATTATATCCTGAGAAAAATTTCCCACTATATATTTATAAACACATTTATTAAAACTCTGAAAACAATAAAAAATAACCATTTAATTACAAGCAATCATAAAATAATGCAATGCACTAATAAAAGAATAAAAATATTCAGAATCTTACAAATTTTAGAAACGAATAAAATGGGAATATAAAATAATGAAAAAATGATAATAAACGAAAAAGGAAATATAAAAACAGGAAGAAAAAATGATAAGAAATAAGAGGTAAAGGAGGATGTGAGAAACACGAAAGGAAAAGATTTAAAAAAAAGATAAAAGAACAAAGGGAATAGCAGAGAGGGGCGGCAGAAGGAAAAATGATAGAGGGATAACGGTAACGCGATGTTCGCGTTTATTATCGCGACATTCCGCGTGATTATCCCGTGTGCGAAGCGTTATCGCGCACAATCGATCACAGATCGATATCTTGACCGGCCGGGCCGGTTATCGCGCCGTCGTTGTTATCGCGATCGATAAACGGAAGTGCATGCAATGCGACGTGACACGTTGCACCGGGTCTCCATCTTTCTCTCTCTCTCTCTCTTTTTTCTCTCGTTATCGATCTCGAATTTACCTCGCGTGCATCTCAATCGGGAAATTGCGCGATGGTGCTAAATTAAAAGAAAAATTCCACTGCAAAATAAAATTGATAATAACATTTTAGATTCGACATTGCTATATTTCATTATTATCATGCTATGCGAATTATAATACTCGGGAATATTGTGTATTACGCAAAAAAAAAAATACTTATATACGCGTATCTAAGAAGATTATTTAATGTTAACAAGATTAATCGAGCGACATTTGTTTTATATTATTATTATAATAAATAAATAAATAAATTATTAGATTACTCGTGAAAATACGTTCTCTTTCGATCGCGAAAAGATCGGAAAGTAAAACGAGGGCTCGCGCGTGTCAGACTCTGACACTTCGTAATACAGTCACAATTCATCCTGCCGAGGGTGCAAAGGGTTAATTCCGAATAAAGTTGCCAGCCGCCCCCCTGTGGCGGGGTGTCAGGTGGAGAGTGGCGTGTTACGTGCCAAGACACACGAGGAAGAGGGGTGCGGGAAACGTATAAAAGTGATCCTCGGTGGCTCTTCGTACCCGGTGGCGACCGGCCAACCGGGGGCTTGGGAGAGGGGG